GGGGTTTGATCATTTATGGGGCCTGGCCCACGATATTTATAAGGTAAACCCAATTTTAGCTATGTGAATCAAATATTGTGTGAAAATTAATTTTTTCTGGATTCTCAAATCCTGTAGTTTTTAGTGATTATGTCTTCTATTGTGAGAAGACACAAGTTTTCTTTACTCCCGGTGGAAGAGTCCAATTCCACTTTCTTCCATCTCTTTGGGTTTGGTCGAATCCCCGAGCATTATGCCGGGTTCTTCAAATTCACAATGTAAAGTGACTACTCTGAGACTCTCCGGCCTTGTCGCGAAGACCCTCTTGACGCATCCGAGACATGTCTTGGATCCGCTGTCCATATTTTACGATGATCTATCTTCTTTATGTTTTATCGCATTTTATTTATGTTGTATTAATGACGGAGGATGCTTAATTCCTTCCTATTGTACTTTGATCGTTTAAATGAATGAAAAGCTTGTTGACAATAAAAAAAAAACAAGTGACTAAAGTGGACATCTTTACTCATTTCCCAAAAATGGTGCTCTTTCAGTTATGTGTCTTTCAAGTTCCAAAATTGTTCTGATTTCATGGAATAGTAACTTATTCTTTGATTCTTCTTAACAAAGCTTGCATTGTTGTGTGAAGACTTCAAGCATACATGATTGTATACTCGGGGAGGTGAGATATGAGGCATCATATGGAAGCACTTGATGAACATGGTACAAGTGATTCTCAAATTTTCCTTTTGGTTTCTTAAAGATTTTGTAAACTAATTACAACATCCCCTTTACGCATAATTTTTGGTTAACTTAGTTAGCTCATGTCTTCTGACAATTATCAACTTACTGTTGTTGTTGGAATTAGCTTCTACGATGGAATTTAAACCATTGACTTTGGTGGTCCTACTATGATTACCGCTTCTGCAAACTTTTCTATACTAAATTGCGTTTGTTCTCAATTTAGCTTACTATCATGTACTTCTGGGCGTTGTGCTACTTTCTTACTCTTTTACTTATCGATCCATAATTGTGTAAATTTACTTTAAGCAGACAATGAGATTTCCAAAACTTCAAAATTCCTCCAAGCTTCTCTTGGTTGAGGAAAATCTCTATTTCAAATACCGCATCCAACGGGAATGCTCCAAGCCTTAATCGCTGCAGTTCGAATACGCCTCTATGTTTTTTTACAATTAAATTCGCCACCAGTGAGCTGAGGATCTAGCGGTGGTTTGGAGCTAATGATGTAAACCAGATCGAACAATCAGTTAAAACAAATGATGTCTTTGGGGTAAATGGGCTGCTGAGATTCGCGATCTGAGGGAAGGTGCTAGAATCTGGCTTCTAACTTGCTTTGGACTCCAGATTCAAGGAAGCGAGTCTGTTCAGGGCATAGACAAGTGAAACGAACCAGTAAACAAACACTATTCAAGTTCGATAATACCACTACATCGTTCATTTCTACTTGTTAGTGCAAGAGTTTTCATAAATGAGAAGAGGATCCCCATTACATTTCGGCTTCATCTTTTAGTCTAGATTTACTTGTGATAATGGAGTTGAAGATTGATAAACTCAGCACCAAAGAATTGTTTATGAGAATTCGACCATGTTTTTTTTTGGCCGGGAGTTGCGTTAATAATATTTTTATGGGGTTTAGTCAATAAAACTGTTAGACAGCTCTTTCCTTTCCTACATGATTTGTTCTTATGCTGTCAAGTTTTTTCTGGCTTAGGTTTGTGCGAAGCGTAGCATCTTTTGATCTGTTTTACGAAATCCGATTTGCAAAATTCACGCTTAAGGTTCTGGTTAAGCATCTCTTTCTCTTTTTTTGTATTATAAGCTTACAATGATCTGAGAAACTGATGCACAAGTTTATCTTTAAGCATCTCTTTCTCTTTTTCGTATTATCAGCTTACAATGATCTGAGAAACTGATGCATAAATTTATCTTTGTTGTGGACTTCAGGTAGAACCAAGAAATTTCATAATTAGAAATCCATTCATTTAAGAAAAACAATACATGCATGTTTCTGGATGTCAATGATCATGCACTTGGTCCAAGAACTACTGCCATATGTCTGCACACGAGAAGTAGACATACAAAATAGGTGCCGGCTACAAGGTTAAAATTCTGGTTTCTTTCGATCTTCTGCTTCTACTATGTATTGCCATTGTTCTTATCTATCTATTCTTTTATATGTGAAATAAAAAATCCTACGTGACGGCTTCTCATGGATTTAAAGGTGGTTGATTACAAGGGTATTTTTGATAAAATCACCCTAATTACATCTTTTGCCACCGATTATGTTTTACCAAAATATGCTGATTTATATATTTCGTTGGGGTTTGGATCCTATTAAGCCAATCAAAATGCTAAGCCTAGATTTTGATAGTCCATAAAATTATGTCGGTAGAAAGAAACCCTACCTACGATCCCTATAATAATTTATAAATATCAGACCTACATCTGTTAAGTTTCA